GCCCTCCCGCTGCACCCCCAGGGAATGTCCCCCCAGCCCCTCCAACCTTCCCGCACCCCGGCGCAATGTCTCTCCAGGAAACCTCCCACCTCACCCCGGGGCAATTTCACCCCCAACCTCCTTCAGGAACCCTTCCCCCACACCCCAGGGCAATGCCCAATGTCCCCTCCAGACCCTCCTGAGAACCCTTTCCCCAGACTCTGGGGCAATGATCCACTTCCCCCATACTGAGAACCCTCCTACCTCCCCTATCACTCCTAGGAAATCACCCACTTCCCCCCAGCACCCCTAGGCAATGCCCCACCTCCCCCCACAGTGGGAACCATCCTACCCCCCAGCACCTCTGGAAAATGCCCCTCTGTCTTGCACCCTCTCCTCTGACTCATCCAGCATTGCCCCGTTGGGAACCCTCCTGCCCCAACTTATCCCCAGAACTCCTGGGGAAAAAATCACCTCCCCTCCACCCTTGAGTTACCCAGCAACCCCCCATTGGGAACCCTTGAGCACCTCCTGTGCAATGCCCCAAACTCCCTTCCTAAGGAGCACTTTCCTGCACCCCTTCTGACTCTTAGCCCCCACACAGACATACTGGGAAACGCCTCACTGTTTGGCTGCTGGGGAACCCTCATTCACCCTTTTCCATTCCCCAAGCCTCCCATCCTACCCCGTCTCTACACAGTACCACTTCCAAGATAAGACAGTCTACCACCTGGGTAGCAAGTGGCTCCTGCTAATCACAGAGGCATAAGTGCCTGATAAGATATAGGGCAGCACAAAGCGGTCATATGCACTCAAATGTCAAAGTCAATCCAGTAGGAAATAGCTGTGACTTGAGCTTTTTGTTTCTCTCCCTCTCTAAGAAACATCCGAATGATGCCAGCAACCTGGCCAAGAAACGGCTTTCGTCTTCTCTTGCCCAAATCAGTGGGATGCTGCAAGTAGAGCCTGCAAGTGAAGATGCACATTAGCCTGGTGGTTGGGCATATTCAGTAATAGCAGGATTTGGGTTAAAGATGGAAGGAAGGAGCTTACTCATGCGATGTCTACACTAGAAATGCTACAGTGGCACAGCTGCAGCTCTGCTGCTGAAGTGCAGACGCTTACTACGGAGATGGAAGGGTTTCTTCTGTTACTGTAATAAATCCACCACTCCAAGAAGCCAGTAGTTAGTTCTACAGAAGAATTCTCCCAGCGACCTAGCAGTGTCTGCACGGGGGGCTTTGGTTGTCTTAATTATGTTGCACAGGGTGTGAAATTTTTCACAGCCCTGAATGATGTTGTGAAGCTGAACTAACTTTGTAGTGTAGTGCAGTGCAGCCCCCAAATTATAAACTCTTTGAGGCAGGACAGTCTTTGTGTTCTTTGTGTTTGTACAGTGCCAAGCACAATGGGGCCCTGGTCCATAACCAGGGCTCCTAGGCACTATGGCAATACAGATAATAATTAATAATAATTTCAAGCCAAAGGCATTATTCACAAGAAAAAAATATAATCATCCCTCACTATAACAGCGTATATTCATGGGCAAATGCCATTTGTTGAGCACTTCTTGCCGTCAGTGCCCTAATCCTACATTTTGAGCAGAGCTGGTTAATATTTTTCAAACTAGAGGTTTGTTGTTATTGTTGAAAAGTGCCTTTTTTTCCTAACACAGTTTTTCGTTTGCAAAAAATTGTCGATGGTGCCAAACAAGTTTGTGTTTGTGAAAAATGTGGTAGGTTTTTTGGATTTTTTTCTGAATTTTTATCAAAAACTTTAAAAACATTTTCCAGATGGTTACTGAAATTTGTTTACTGAAAAATGGGCTGGGGGGGGGGAGGGGAGGGAAGGGAGAAATCCCACCACCACCAATAGCATAAAAAAAGTTAAAAATAGACTATTTTTGGATGCTGAAAATCTTTAGCCATCTCTTCATCAATTATACACAGTAATAAAGAACAAGGCTTCATATGCAGAATTTGTTAATGGAGTGTCTTCAACGAGTATATTCAACAAGTTCTGTGATTTGCACTGGTTGCTTCTTGGTTTGTGGGTGACACTTAAGGTGTTTCATTTGACCTGTAAAACCTCACATTTCTCCCTTTGCCGAACCACAGAGGTGCTCAAGTTGAATCCCTGCTGATATGGACAAGAGCAAGTTGCTGGCATAGTGCCTCTGGGAGGGCCCCATAGCTTAGGAATTCACTCTCTCCTTGGTCCAAAAAAAAAAAAAAAAAAATTGAGTTTGATGACCTTCAGAGCACACAGCACAGCTCATCTTCTTTCCCCGTGTATGTGAAAAGTGTCTGTGTCAGGGGGTGGTCAGGGGTTTTGGGCTTTTCTGTTATCTTGGGTTGCTGGCAGTGAGTTAAATTGTATGGCAGAGCTTTAGTTATGTTTGGGTATTAATTTTGTTGTACTGTTAAGTTATGTCAAGGGCACCTAGAATATACTGATAGTTGCCCTTTTTGGCATTCATATAAACCTAAATAAGATAAATAAATAAATGAAATATAATCCTGACTTTTGAGTGGGATGGACTGGATGATATAGTAGATCTTTTCTATCTCTGACTTCTGTGATTGTGTATAAAGGATCGTGTCAAAAATAAAGATAAGAGTAGAGAAATGGGCTCTGATCTGAGACCTCCAAGCATTGTTTTGCTTCTCTCATGAGTTCTGGTTTTCTCTTTTCAAAAATGTGTCATCAATTAATTGATGTTTGTACAGCTCTTTGGAACTGTTTGTAAGCTGGATTTAAGATCCCTATTACTGTGTGTGTATATATTTTGATGTGAACATATGTATGAGTTTCTAAGTATATACCTTGCTCCCAAAGATGCTCCATTCTTCCTTAAGTCTCCCAGTCACACTAGACAGTGGAGTTCAGTTAATTTACTGAAGCAGATGTTAGTTGCCTCTTTTCCTCCTCTGCAGGGTTGTGAGTGATGGATGAGAATGTCAATCACAGCAAAGGTCACACCGTGACCTGCTCCAGGTATGGCCACTGCCAGGTTTCCTGCAGCAGCTTAGTTGGATCCAGGGTGTTATTACTGCTGCCTTCATGGTCTCCATCCAAAGTCCAATAAACACGACTGCTAGTGAGAATGTTTGAGTACTGAATGGTCATTAAAATGTTCACATCTAATGAGATAAGTAGTATCTTAACTAGACTTTTATCAATCTAGGGACTTAGATGGCCCCCCATCACTGTAATAGCTCAGCCCTAGCTACAAACATCAATAAATGTAGCCTCACAACACCCCTGGGAGGAAGTAGTGGTATTATCATCATCTCCTTTATACAGATGGGGAGCTGAGGTGCAGGGTGGCCAAGCCAGAGCCAGGAATTGAACTCAGCTCTTCAAAGTCCTATTTTTAACCACCAGTGTTGTCTGCTGTAACTAAATTTGACTATTTTTATTAATAATTTCTATAATACTATGACTGCCCAGGGTGCTTTACAAACATAGAGAAGATACAGTCCATGACCCAAAGTGCTTGCTATCTAAATCAGACACAAGCAACTGGACAACATGTACACTAAAACTCCATGAAATGAAGCAGTCAAAAGAATGATATAGGCAAAATACTGTCACATGGGGTCAGCTATTTTGGCTGGTCTTATGCAGGAAATCAAACTGGAGGATCATGGTTCTGTTTTCTGGCCTTAAAATCTATGAATCTTTGCCCCAGTACAGCAAATCCTTTGTAATGTGCAGTCTTCTGCCACAGTTAGGTGCTGAAGCAGCACCTGCTGCCTCCATAGAAGGCCACTTGCCTAATGCCTCTGAAACAATTCAGCTATTATATCTTCAGTGGGTTTCACAGCAAAACTTACTGCCCATCATGGAACTGGTTAATTGACTTAGGGAAGAAGCAGAGTGTTTAAAGTCACAATGAACAAGAATATATTTTCAGAAAAGGGGCTACCATTGTTGTTGTTTTTTTACCGTTAGAACATAAAATAAATATTAGAAATTGCTTCATTGCTGGGTCTGCTTTGGGAAGTCTTTTGGATGATGGGAGTTAATTTTCAAAACAAAAGCAATGGGAAAGGCAATGGCAGATCATACTAGTGATCTCAGTTGGAAAAGATGGTAATTACCCTACTCTGAACCTCATGCATATGTTAAGTGCTAAAATAGCACTATGAAAAGCACATGCATACTAGCTTCCTTACATAGATCAAAATAGGAAAAGGCAAGGATGGTTGACTTGAGCCGCCAAGTATTAATCACAAGAAATGTTATGTCCTTATCGGCCTGTGGCACATCTAATGAACTTGGGCTTCTACTCAGGAAGATCAATGATATTGATATATCGCACTGTTTGAATAGCTCAAGTGCGAAGAGCCCTGTAATCCTGGGACTGATCCAAATCCTACTGAATTTTCCATTGGCGTCTGTAAAAGTTGGAGTGGGCCCCTGGAGCAAACCATTTGAATTCTCTCCCTATGAAATTCTGAATGGCCATGGTGTGCAGAAAAATGACACCTGTTATGTCCTAAGTGGCCACAAGTTTGTTACAATATGAAAATATTGATTTTGTTTGAGAACATTTTAAAATCATTTTGGAATCTTTCTAAATGAAAGGCACTGTACAG